CTAAGCAATCCCCAAGTACTAACTGAATAATAACTGAATACCTAGGATAACCCTGGGAAATAGTATCCTGAGTTCGCATATGCACCACATAAATCTATATTATTGCAGCATTTTTTGCTTTTTATTTTATGTCGGAGGACTGTAGGAGTTTTTTGGCTGGGGTTTTTGCAGGGTTTCTTGCAGTGATATTCCTGCAGTTAAGCGCAGTCACGCTGGGACTTCGGAAGATAGCGTACAAGAAGAAGCACGCAGACATTTACCACAGAGACTTATTTGAAGACCCGCCGAGCGAGCTTGCAAGCCTCCTCAGCATCGCCACGAAGGAGTGCACGGATCTGGCGTGGCTGAACATCTCCATGCAGAGATTCTTCTACGAGCTCTCAAATTCAAGCACCTTCTACGAGAAAGTGAAGGCAAAGATGGTGAAAAAGCTCTCAATTGCCTTCTCCTCGGGCCTTCTCAAGAGAGTCCGCTTCAAGGACGTTTCCTTCGGGAGTGAAGCCCCGTACATAAAAAGCATCCGCGCAATGTCCGAGGACGAAATAGAGGAGCTCATGGAGAGAAAAGACGCGAAAGAAGCAGGATTTAGCAAGCCAGCGTACTTCAAGCAGGTGTACCTCCTGATCAGCATGGAGTATACGGCCACGGATAACTGCATATACATAGACGCAGACCTGATCAAGGGATACTCCATCCCAATTTTTGTTAAGTTGCAGCCCTTTAAGGGAGACCTTGTCCTGAGAATGCCTGCAAATAACTACTCCACGCGCCTGGAGATATCGTTTATAAAGAATCCAGGGTTTGATTTTTCCGTTGAAGCTTCTTTTTCCAAGAACGACTCAGCCTTCTTTTCGAATACGCTGAGTCACGTGATAAAGAGAGTCTGTAAATACGTTGCAAAGGCGTACGTTTTCCCGAACTGGTACTACTACTACATGCCGATGCTCGTGTCTCGGTCGAAGGTCATACAGTACTCGTACTTCCCCATCATCGGGGAGAGCGTGGACGGACCGATGCACCAGGTCCGGGAGATCCAGAACCTCTTCAGCCTCGACTTCGCCATCATAACGAAGAAGGGAAACATCATCTTCCGGAAGACGAAAAGTACCGTAAATACGTCAAATACGCCGATGGAGAGGGCGGAGATAGAGATCCTGAATAAGCCCTCGATCCTGAACGATCTTTTTGCACCTTCTTCAGGCACGGACATTTTCTCAGACGTTATCAGCGACTACGAGGGAACAAAAGTCGTCCAGAAGTTCTCCGAGGAGGTGGAGAAGGTGCACATCATCATCTCAAACGGGATATACGAGTTTATCCGCATCACACTCGACGACATGATCATATACCAGAGGACAGACCCAGAAGAGCCGCAGTTTATCGCCCTCAGGAAGGGATCCGGATGCATAACGATCATACAGTACGTGAACCCCACAGAGCCCTTCTACTTAGGCCGTTTCAGGATCACAAAACTCGCGAAGAAGCTCGAGAAGCGGGAGATGAAGGTCCTCGGATCCGCAAAACTCTTCAAGATCCTCGACTACTCCGTGAAGCAGGCAGAGAAAACGAAGAAAATATTCGGGAAAAAGCCAAAGGCAGACGCAAAGGGACAGGCGCAGAACTTCACGAAAGACAGCACGAAGGAGAAGTACATCTCCGACGGATACTCCGTCTCCTCTGCCCCCAGCAGCATCTCAGAAGTCAGCATCATAGAGTCGCACTTCATGGAGATAGAGACGAAGTTAGAGAGGGAGGAAGCCCTGAAAAGTCACAGGATAGAGCTCCCGTACGCTCAGGAGGAGATATCAGAAGCACTCAGTGACTCCCTCATTCGCTCTGCTGTTTTCGGGAGCTTCTCCATTATGGAGGATATTCTCCTCACAGAAACAATTCGGAATACGTCGATGGCACAGGCAGAGTCTGGGCAGTACGTGCAGATGCTGAGCTATTCAAGCCCACATCAGCCCCTCGTGATCGAGAGAATCCTGCTCTCGGAGGAGCACCAGGGAGTCACTGCAGCGATAAAAGTCTCCACGCAAGCCCTCGATATTTACGTCTTTGGGAGCGAGGCGGAGAGGTCTTTCCGGTGCTTCACTGAGCTCATCGTGGCTGCCCTCGAGAAAATTCGGGTCCTGAAAATGCCAAGAGTTTCCGTTGGGAGGGCGTATGCAGAGACCCTGAAAAACTCCTCGGGGTTCGTCCTTTCCGCAGATGCTCCCGTCCCGTGCGCTGTTTCCGTGGAAATCGGTAGAGTCCCCCTTTTTTCTGAAGACTTTTTTCTGAAGTCCCCGTTTGTGTTTACGTTTAGTGCTCCCCCGGGGGTGGAGATGCGGGTCGTGCTGAAGCCCCGGAAGAAGGCGGGACTGGAGATGTGCATTATTCCGCACGGGTCTGTGCGGACGGCGGAGTCTCTTCAGGGAGTTTCGCAGGAGATTCGGAGCTCTCCTGAGGAAAGAGCCTTCTCAGAGCGCGGGGGAGAGGGGGAAAGCACGGAGGAGAGTGCGGATACGTCGAGTGAGGGCGAAGAGACTCCCCCGGAACCCGCAGAAGTCCCTGCGGAGAGTGAAAAAACCCCGAATAACCCGGATCAGATCGTGACTTTGCAGCAGATGCACGTAGAGGGGGATTTGTGTGCCCGGAGAAGGGGAAAGTTTTCCCTGGCCGTAGGGAGGGGATTTCTCTACTGGCGAGCCCCGTGGTCCACGAGCGAGAAGGCGCGGACGGAGGAGACCGCAGAAAACTGCATGAATGGCGCAGGATACGCGTACAGTGAAGTCCCTGCAGAGCTCCAGTGGAGAAATGCAGAAAACAAAGATGTAACAAAAAGGTTTTCTGTAGGGTTTATTTCAAAATAAAATGGAATTGTTTATTTACCACGCGAAAAGCCTTTTCTTGGGCCCTCGCTTTTCCTTTTTCTTTTTCAGAAGCTCAGAGATAATGTCTATTTCGCTGTACCCGTGAATGTGAGATTTCTCTGCTTGGGCGTGTTTGGGCAGTTGCACGTGCTCCTCGTAGTCGCTGTACTTGGTCACGCAGAGCTCGCATACGCCGGCCTTTTTTGCAGGGCGGGCCTTCTTCTGGGAGGGGGCAGAGTCCAACTCCAGCACGGGAATCATTGTTTCCTTGCTTTCTCCGCTGTACTCCCTGTGGAATGGCTTGTACTTTCCCGTTAGATCCTCTATTAATATGTACGGGTGCTTGAACACGTGGTACTCCATAGGATTTTTGTGCAGAGGATATTTAAAATGAAAAAGGCGGGCATGGGAAAATTCAAACAAACACTCGAAGCACCCGAAAGCGCCTCCAGGACGCAGGGAGAGTGGGAAAATCACGCTCCCGCAGAGAAATCGCGCAAATACGCACTTTTCCCGGATTCTCCCACATCCCACCCGCAGGATTCAGGCGAATTCAGGCAGATCTCCCCTAGTTTACAGAAAACTCCACCCACACGAGAATCCACAAGAGAATCCACAAGAGAATCCGCAAGAGAATCTACAAGAAATTCAGAAGTGGAAGAAGAAATTCAGAAGTGAAAAACCAGAATGAGAGGAATTTTTTGTTATTAGTTTGTTTTGCAAACTCTTAGGAAATAAACACTCACTTAGAAAATAAACTTTCACTCTGAAAATAAATACTCACTTTTGAAATAAACTTTCACTTTAGAAATAAACTTTCCTTTTATAAACAAACCTTCACTTTAGAAATAAACTTTCCTTTTATAAACACTTTCACTCTGAAAAGAATCTTCACTTTAGAAAATAAACTTTCACTTAGAAAAGAAACTTTCCTTTTATAAACAAACACTCACTTTAGAAATAAACTTTCATTTTATAAACCCTCACTCTGAAAATAAACCTTCCTTTTATAAACAAACTTTCCTTTTATAAACAAAATTTCACTCTGAAAAGATAAACACTCACTCTGAAAAGAAACACTCACTTTAGAAAGAACCTTCACTTAGGAAATAAACTTTCGTTAATTTCTTAGTTCTGCAAATTTTGCAATGAGCCCCAAAAAGCGCCTTTTCGTGCCGGAAACTGCATGTGCATAGGAAATTAACCAATAAATCCAACGAGTTCTCACAGGCAAAAACCCACAGAAAACTCCGCAATTCCAGAGACTCCCAGGGAAAGCGTACACCCCGAATAAAAGCAAAGTTAATTTTTTATTTATGGACGAAGTAAACACGCAAACCAACACCTTCTCAGAGGAGGGCCGGATCCACCAGGTAGAGTACGCGATAAAAAGCATCTCATCCGCAGGGTCTGTGATAGGAGTACGATGCTCTGACGGAATTGTACTCCTTGGGAAAAATACAGATGACTCCGTCTCCCTCGCACAGGACGAGAAAATATACAGGATAAACGAGAAGACAGTGGGAATAGTGGGAGGTCTCTATGCAGATAGTAACCTCCTGATAAACTACGCAAGAGTCATTGCACAGGACTATCTGATGAAATACGACACAGAAATGTCTCCCCGACAGGTTGCAAAGGCCGTCTGCAAGATAAAGCAGAAGTACACGCAGGGAGGAGGAATGCGTCCCTTTGGAGTTTCCTTCCTCTTCGCAGGATGGGATGAGAGAGACGAGTACTGCATGTACTTCACAGACCCAAGCGGAACAATGTCGAGTTTCACCGCGTGCGCCTTCGGGGAGGGGGAAAAGGCGATTCTCCCGGTCCTTGACGAGCACTCCCCCGAGAAGCTGCTGGATGAAGGACTTATGCTCGCATTCCGGGGGATTCTGTCCGTCTCCGAGGGATCAGCTATTCTCCCGCACACGATCTCCTGCTCCGTCATAACGAGGGCTGGGGGAGAGAAAACAGTCCGGGCTCTCACGCAGGAGGAGGTTGCACAGTGCCTGGAGGAAGCAAAGACACAGAAAGAGTAAATAAATGCGACTCCAGGAATGTTCGTTACTATCAGGTTGCGCCTAGTGTATTCAGTGCAGTTTTACTACATATTGTACTGTATTACTACTGTATTATTTTATATTGTACTGTATTATTTCATATTGTACTGTATTATTTCATATTTACATTCATATTACTACCATATTATACTGTATAATATTGTACTATTTTATATTATTGCCATATTATTACCATATTACATTCATATTATACCGTATAACTACCATATAACAACTTCACATTTACATTCATATTACTACATATTGTACCATATAACTACCATATTTACATTCATATTACTACTATATAACAACTTCATATTACTACCATATTACATTCATATTACTACCATATTACTACCATATTACTACCGTATTATACTGTATTGCATAGATAGTTCGTGCATGTCTTCTGTAATTCTGGGAGTATTTCTGCTTTTTCGCACTCTGGATTTGCATGGGAGAAAGCTCTGAGAGGGAGAAGATCGAAAGACACTTGGAGAATGGGGAGACAGCAGAGGCACAGGAGATACTTAGCACCCCAGGGACTTCTGAGGTTCTGGTGGACGTCTATACGGAGCTTCTGAAAGTCCCACTCGATGAAACAGGCCTTTTAAAGGCAATGCAGAAGCACAGTACCTCCCACATTCCGCATCTCTCGTACGGGGACTTCCTAGTGCGAAAGGAGAGACTCAGAGAAGGCATTTCCCAGTACAAAACTGCAGCAAAAGTGTGCAAAATCCCAGAGGATCTCCCCCAGATTCTGAAGACTATCGCATTCCTGCACCTCCAACTGAGAGAAGTCACAGAAGCCTTCCACACGGGATGGACTCTCATACAAATATCCCCGACCACGTACAATATGCGCCTCCTCCGGAACATCTGCGAGATCGCACGAAAGGCGAATCCTCCCCTGAGCATCCGGAGAGAGGCTGAGAAGACGGAGGAAGTCATCGGAAAAACTCTGACGCGGAGATCCCCCGTGGAAAGGGAGAGCGTAAAAATGGGGGATCTCGAAGTGATTGGGTGCAGGGGCGTGGGGGAGTTCCTGAAAAGCAACGGGATAGAAGCATCTGGGCCCTTTGAGGTTGGACACTCCTCAGGGGATCTTCCTGTCCTCGTCCTCCTGGAGAAGCACCGATTCGACGAGTTCATGCGGAGTCTGCAGGAGTTCTTTGTTTCCCCGGAGGAGAGAACGGGAGAGCCCTCCTGCGACGTAATTAAGCACCTTATGAAGGCAGAGGATATCCACCTTCTCCTGCGAATTGGGGAGTATATGTACAGGAATAGTCACTATGTAAGTGCTGCTGCTGTCTTTGGCGTATGTATAGATCTATTCTCGCGGATAGATGCACTTCGCACGAAGTTCATGCAGTTAGCAGTTACGCTGGACTATCCCTTCTTCCAGGACGTATACGAAGCATCCCCGGGGATATACTCGGAATACTCTGAAGCCGTTAAAAAACACAATATTTCCGTGCACATAGTGAAGAGGGGGCAGGTGAAGGAGCATCCGCTGGACAAAATACTCGCAGAAAACTTCCCAGAGAAGATCAGCACGGAGGCACGGACTCCCCTGGGGAAACCTGCATAGAAAATCCCACGGGTTAAGGACCTGAAAACGGCACTTCTCTGCGAACCTGAAATAAAACACCATAAAAGTCTAGACGGATATAAACAAGGAAGACGCGGATAAACAGTCGAGCAGGCAGGATAATACATCGACACTCTGTGCGCAGGAAATTAATCAATAAATCTAGCCAGTTAACACATCGGCATAGTCTCATAGTTCTTATAATTCAGTTAGTTCGGGTTATAGTTCATCTTATAGTTCTCTTCTTTTCTTAGTTAATTTTTGTCGTAAATCCGGGTTTCATTCTGACGATTGTATAAAACGAGCTCCAGTAAAGATTTATTAATCTTTGGAGAATCCCGGCGATCGATCTTTGCTTGACTTGAATAGTGTGTATTCGAATTTCTTGCCATTTTCTTCTGCTCTCTAAAATTAAAGTCGTCTGCGTATTTATGCTTGTAAACGATCACTCTTTAATTCTTTCTGCATCAGATCATTTAAAATTCTTTCAAGCTGATCTTGCCATCTCCGAATTTTGTGGGAATTCCAATAATTCACCACAATTTTATAGTTCATTTTCTTCTCATAATTCATCTTATGGTTCTTATAATTCACTTAGTTCTCTTCTTTTCTTAGTTCATCTCATAGTTCAGTTAGTTCGGGTTATAGTTCACTTAATTCTATGCTTCATTTTCATCTCACAATTCACTTAGTTCTCTTCTTTTTTCTATTCATCTCATAATTCTCATAGTTCAATTAGTTCATCTCATAATTCTCATCTCATAATTCACTTAGTTCATCTCATAGCTTACTTAGTTCATCTCATAATTCACTTAGTTCATCTTATAATTCTCTCTTCAGTTCTCATAATTCACTTAGTTCATTTTATAATTCTCTGCTTCCCTTGTTATTTCTCTGCTTCCCCTGTTATTATATGCGGATGTTTTTTGTGCTTCGATGGAGCTGGAGTCCTTCAAGGATCTTTTCGCCTTTTCAGAGAGTGCTCAGATGCCAATAACCGCAGAAAACTCCTTCACAGACGCAGACTGGACTGCCACGTGGGAGTGTGCTACACTTATCCCCAGCATAAAACCAGAGCTGGACATGCTGAGCACAGTATACACACGGCTCGAAAAGAGTCAGCCATAAATATTTTCATTTTTATTTGTGTATGGACAGAGAGTCATTCCACAGGCTGATGCTCTTCAATACGACGTTCTCCCCCGAATCTTCTGCCTTTCCTGCAGAACCTGCAGACTCCCTGGAGTGGGATGCTGAAATAAGCGGACAGTTGGAAAACCTGCAGAGAGAACTTCTGCCCCGGGAAGTCCCAGAGCCTACAGCGTAATAAAGTCCAGGTCGTCAGATGCTGCCTTCACCTTTTCCTGCATTTTTGAGTACTCTGTTTTTTTCATTCCCTCCGTTACGAGGGATCCTGCGCTCAGGAGGACGATGTTCTCGCCCCGCAGGAGGAGGGCTTCGCTTTCAACGAGGCAGTACTCGTCGCCTGCGATTGTAGCTTCCCTCGCGTCTTCCAGGAGGAGGTTGTAGAAGTGGTCGAAAGATCGGAGGATTCCCTCTACAGTCGTATTATCGTGCAGAAGAATGAAAACGAGCTTGTCCAAATACTCTTCCAAAATTCGCGTGGACTTCTCGGGGGCTTCTGCGCTTTCTGCGTGCATGGTGAAAAAGAAAAACAAAGGAGAAAGAGTCCGGGGGCGGAAAATGGCTGGAAAAAAAGGGCCCTGAAACTCGAGGGTTTAGGAGGAGTGGGTCTGCCCTCTGCAGTGGTACTTCTGGAATCTTGGGAGATCGCATAACGAGCAGTCTTTGGGGTTATTATTTGGCGGTACTTTTCAGGGTCTCTGGTTTTCGGGCAGGAACTCCCGGGATTTCACCAGGGGATGCATCTGTGCGGGGGATGCACGCTCGGAAAGTCTCCAGAAACTTTTTTCTCAGGGGTTTTCCCGGGGATGATGCTGTTTTAAGTGGAGGATGAAACAATATTTAAATATTTCGAATTTGTTGTTTCCATGAACGAGGCGATTGGGGAGAGCGTAAAGAGCAGCCGCAGCTACAAGGCGTACAGGCTCTATTTCAACAGCCGGCTGATTGTCTTCATGCTCTCAATCTTTGTATTTCACGTCCTCATAGTTTTCTGCGAGGTTGCGTACATGCTCTACTGCAGAAGTGCCCTCCTGAGGCAGAAACTCCCGAGGATGGATGCGTACCTGATAAAGCTCGTGAACAGTACGAAGAATGTAGACGTATTCAGGACGCAAGCAAAAGTAGCTAAAAATTGGGCTTCCAGGAGAGGCTGGGGAATAGTATCGCAGACTTTTGATCTTATCGTGATCGTATCTTTTTTCTCGCACGATATAAGGACGAAGATAATGCAGTACACGAGAAGGTTCAAGGGAATCGTCCGAATAAATTCCTCGCACATGTCCGTGGAGGATTCGAACTTTCTCTGCCTCGCCCTCCTCGCGATGGGCGTAAAGTCCGTTCTCTCCGGGTGGGTGGCAACTTCAAAGCAGGACAGCATTGATTTGCTCTTAAACGTTTTTATCCAGATGATTCGGTGCCTTATACTGTGCCCTGTTATTGTGTGGCTCTTTAGCTCCGTATACAATAAGGTCAAATACGGCCTTCTCTTTGCTGCGTACGTCTCCATTACCGTCCTCATTCTAGTGAGCAACTGCACTTCCCTTATCCCGGAGTCCCTGGATACGCTGGATACAATTCCTGCGAAGGAGTTGGGGAGTGTCCTGTACGAGGAACTGGTGCGACTGAACCTGCAGGACAGGATATTCTGGATACAGGATGCCCCGAGCGAGAATGCTGCCCTCGTGAAAACAGGATCTTCCAGGTACATCATCGTAATGGGAAATCTCATTAAGTTCGGGGTGAAGGAGTTCGTCTCGTTTATCGCGCACGAGGTTGGGCACGCAGATGATCACAGCACGGAGAAGAAGCTGCTTGCCTCAATAGTGGGGATGGGGATTACGTGCGGAGTCCTTGTGGGGATTCTCCACGTGATTACGCCGAAGTATGCGAGGAGGGGAGTCTCTAAGTTCTCGGTTCTTGCCTTCCTTATACTCGCGAATATGTACGTTTTCTCCAACGTAACGAATATGTTCCACAATAACCTGTGCATTCTCTCGGAGGTGAATGCGGACTTGTATGCGAAGAGGCTTGGGTTTGGGAAGAGTCTGGCCACGGGTCTGTACAAGTTGATCGTGGAAAACCGGGCTCCCCTCTTCCACTCTACGATATACTCGTACTATGCCCAGGACCATCCAACTGTTTCCTCGCGAATTGCATATTTAACGTCATAGACCCTGAAAAATAACTGCCACAGATTTATACTGTTAGATAGAGATCCAACCGAAATCCAAAGGAAACCTGACTGAAAAACCCAACGGAAATCCAACGGAAACCTGACTGAAAATTCCAACTGAAAATTCTAACTGAAGTCTAAAGGAAACCTGACAGAAATCCAACGGAAACCTGACTGAAAATTCCAACGGAAATTCCAAAGGAAACCTGACTGAATTCCAACGGAAATTCCAAAGAAAACCTGACTGAATTCCAAAGGAAACCTGACTGAAACCTGACAGGAAGATCTCCGTGGGAATTCTGCTAGACTTTGACAGGTTTCATGGGCCAAACAAACAAAGAGAAGTCCGGGATACTCGGGCTATGACTGCAGCATAAATAAAGAAGAATAGACTATTCTACCAAAATTCACTTCAGACTTGCTCTAGGGAAAGAAGAAACCCCTGAATACCCCGAATTACCCCGGATTTTGCAGTATTACAGCTCTAGGCCGGTCTAGACGCGCAGAAACAGGCTAGCACGGCCTAGTCCCAGCCCAAATTAAATTCTCACGCATAAATACGCCCTGAAGAAGAGACGCAGGCAGGGGCGACTGTGAAGCTCCCAGTCCCTACTTCAGGCAAATTCCACGCCATCGCTCACTTTCCCCCTGCCTGCGCATCTATTCGTGTCATTCTTTAGATTGCGTCGGAGATTCTATTCGGTGCTAGTGCGTGCTCTTTTCGGGTTATTATTGCAGCATCCACAGGCATTTGCTGGTACTCGCAGCCAGCAGTGAATAAATCTTATAATTAACTCTCCCGAATTCCTCAAGCAGTTTCGCATTGCAATACTCCCATTAGAATTTACACTTTGAATTTGCTTATTTGCCTATTCATGCGTGAATTCCTGCTGTTTTCTGGTCTCCCGCCCTCAGAGAAGTCACAGTAAGACTCCCCCGGGCATCCCACGCGCACAGGAGAAGTGGCTCACCCCCGCATTTTCAGAAATTTCCCGAGTCTTCCCTGCGTGGGCTATTTAACCCGAGCAAACAAATAAAATATTTTATGAAGACAGAGAGAAACGTAAACGCATACAGCTCCGACGGAAGAATATACCAGCTGGAATATGCAATGAAAGCTGCCTCCCTGGGAACAACCACGATAGGCGTGAAGGTGCACGAGGGAGTGATTGTAGTCTCTGAGAAAAAGATAGTTTCTCCCCTGCAGATACCCGAGAGCGTGAAGAAGCACCATTTAGTGTACGAGCACTGCGGATTTGCCTTCTCAGGGCTCAGTGGAGATGCCAGAACAATCATCACAAAGGCCCGGGAGAATGCGATCATGCACAAGTTCGTGTACAATGAGAGAATCCCCATAGAGGGCGTTGCACAGTATCTCTCGTCTATTTCCCTGAACTTCAGCGCAGAGAAAGACCACAACAAAATCTTCAGTCGGCCCTTTGGGATCTCGATTCTAGTCCCTGGGTTCGACACCGAGCCCAGACTTTTCTCTCTCGATCCTTCTGGGACGTATCGGGAGTACTATGCGAAGGCGATAGGGTCTGCAGCAGAGGCTGTGACAGCAGAGCTTGAAAACACGTACAAAGAAGACATTTCCCTGGAGGAGGCGATAGAAAGCACGCTTCTCCTGCTGAAGTCCGTGATGAAAGACCCCATCACGCGGCAGAACTGCGAGGTAATGGTCTGCACTCGGGAGGGAGTGCGCCTGCTCGCCCCAGAGGAGATAGAGGGGTATTTAAATAAGTAAATCAGTTGTAATTCGGAAAGTATCAGGTATTTTTGTCGTTATTGTT